TTCATAGTTCATGTGTTTCCATTCGTTTGGCTATTTGTCCCTGTGCTTTATCCAACCTTGGTTTCAACAATTCTCGCTCATATAAACCCTCCTCTTTCTCGAAGGGACGCTTGGCTCAATCTGGGAGGAGGGGACTGGACCTGCCTGCACTGAGTCTATCAGGTCGATCTCAGTCCTTGGGGGTGGCTTTGATCTGGAGGTGGTGGGAATGGGGGGTGGGCTGGGGGGAAGGGGAGGGGGCAGGAAGGGGGAGAACAAGGGAATCTGTGGCTGTTATGTAGAACTGAATAGTATTGTAAAATAAAAAAAAAAGATATAAGAACAGTTAAAAAAATAATTCTTAAAAGAAAAAAGAAAGGTGTTTTCTTTTTTGGCTCACAGTTTCAGAGGTTTTATCCATCATGACCAGGAAGGGATGATGGAGTAAAGAAACTCACATCAGACAGTCAGGAAGCAAAAAAGAGTGTCCATTTCCCTTTTTTTTTTGTCTCATTTTGTTCCAGTCCTACAAGACGGCGCTGCTCACATTCGGGGAGATTTTATTTCTCATTTAACTCACTGAAAATGTTCTCACAAACATGCCCAGGGGTGTGCTTTAGCAATCTCCCAGGTCTCTTTAGTTAAATCAAGTTGACAATTGTGATTAAACACCAGAATTTATGAGTTTGATTAAGAGATTTGGCAATGGGTTGTGCCACTAGGAAAGTAGCCGCCAGCCTCTCTGTGGACTGGGCTCCTATCTGTGCTTGACTTCTGTGTGGATGGGAACTGAGCTGCCTCTCAAGAGCAGATACTCTTGTGGGTGACTTACACAGTGACTCCCCCCCTTTCTTCTGCTTGAATTAGTAATATGCTCTTTATGCAACAGATAGATGGCACATGTAGTGGATGAAATTGGTCTTGATTTGTCGTGGAAATCTTGGGTGAGTTACCGTGTTGCCATGGATGTTCTAAAATTGGACAACCAATTTGAACTGCTGGTGGAAAGAGGCCACAGGGTGCCTGTTATTCACTTTGTTTCTCATCTTATTTGTTTTTCTCCAATGTCCATTCAATATCTGGTTTTCCCCTGCTTGGTTGTTGTTGTTGAGAGGTTCTATTTATTGTTCAATTTATTTGAAGGGAAGTTTTGATGGCATGTACCTGTAGTCCTAGAATTTGGGAATAAGCGGAATCAGCTTTATCTATGTAGCAAGTTCCAGAGCAGACAGGGCTACATTTTTAGGTTCCATTTAAAAAAAAAAAAAAAAAAAAACAGAGAGCAAGGAAGAGAGGGATGGGTAGAGGTGGAGGGATAAAACATATGAATTGATTCAAGGAGACCATTTTCTTACACTTACAAAAAAATTCAATGTGACAATATAGTGCTGTTAGCAATTATATTGATAGTAGTTATGTACTTTGGTTCAATTTTCAGATCTCTGTGGTTCTGAGTCTTTATTTCTAAAAATGGTTATGAAGAACAATTTCTTCCTCCACAGGATGCTCTGGGTATTCCTGACTGGAAAATAGGTGCACTAGATAATTGCCAGTGCTGGTGACAATGATGGTGAGTCTGGGTACGCAGGGGTGAAGAAGAAAATGCTTTCACATTTTAGCATGGCAAAGTCCTTATTCTTCTTTGTCCCAGGATTGTCCTGTGCTCAGAATGACCACTGTGACACTTTAAACCTTACATTTCTAGAGCCTGAGATAGGTGGTCGATTTTAACACATACCATTTCGAATCATTTGACAAAAGAAAAGTGAACACTTTTTTCTCATATAATTTGATTTTGTTTTCATTTGACCACACAATCATCACTAACTTTGTCACACCTAACATTTTTTTTTTTTTTTTTTTTAGAAACCAGGCTAACCTGACGATTCTCTCAAAGTGAGAAATTGAATAATAATGATTATTCCTTCAAAATCTTTCAACCACTTTCTAGGGATTAAGTCAAAGCTTTACAGTATAAGCTCCCTAAAAAACTGGCTTCAACACTCACTTTCTGGTTTAACCTGCCCCTACTCTGTCCCTTGCCCCCAGGCTATTCTCTGAAGGCACAAAGTTCTTTACATCTCTGCTTCAAAGTTTTGACAACTTCTCTCTGAAGAAGTGTTTGCCCTGTATTCCTTCTGTTCTAGATTGACTTGTCCTCTCTGCTTCCAGTGCTGTTTCCTTGACCTCTTTTCTCAGGGTGCAGTCAAGATGATCTTGGAAAAGCATACTGATTGTGCCATTCAGTACAGAAATACTTAAGTAGCCGAATTTAATTTTTTAAATGTCGTTCGCAGTTCTCTCCCCTGTTCTGAGTCCACCTCTGTTTAGACTTGCCCTGTCTTGTCATTCCAGTCTTCCTGCTTTCTCATCTCAAAATGGCCTCTCTTGCTTACTCCTGGTTTTTAACTGGTAGGATGATTTCTATTTAATCCTGCCCTTGGACTTAGGGTGACAAATAAAAGATCACCTGCTGGAACTTGAATTTCAGATAAATGACAATTAGTTATTAAAATGTGAAGACATATTTAGTAATTGCTTGCTTTGAATTCATCTGACTTCCTATATTCATATTTTCTAAATGCAGCAGCTTGTCTGGGATTACAGCTGAGTCTCACTGCAGAACACAGTCAATGTAATCATGTGACTTCTTGCTATTAAAGGCACACACATCACAATAATTGAAATACCTGTTTCTTCTACTTGCTAGTGTGCTTTTGGGGACTAAAGTTAACTACCTCTCACTGTTTTATCTACAGAATATGGCAGGATTTAGTGCCAGGAATATAAAAAATCACTGAAAGAAGTCTTACTGGATAAAGGAATGAATTATAGACAACTGAGAAAATGGATGTGTCAGTAACACTATCAAGTGCCTTTTCAGTAAAACTTCCCATCCATTTTCTAGAGTAAAACAATGATGTCTGAGCTTTCCAGCACGTTTTTTGTGTATTTGTTTTCTAGCTCTTATGCTACACACACGATGCACGATGGTTAAAACTATTTGCTTGTGTATCTACACTCCTTGCGTGATGAGCACTGGGCATTAAGAGATAGAGGCATCATCATCTTACTGTTACACTTTCACCTTCCACACTGACTTGCTAATCCCTGCTAAGTACTGAAAATATTATAATATTATAGTTTAGAGAAGGAACTTACAGACAGTTTTTTAAGGAAGGTAGGAATATAATCTGTGATTATTGATAAAGAATATATTTTGCAGTTATGATAAGAGTGTGGTGCCTGTCAGGTTGTTTTTAAAGTAACTTGTACAAATTTGAGCACTGTCTTAAGAAAGAATACAAACTGAACATTATCCAGACAAAGGGCTCCAAATAATCACACTCAATGCATTCCAAGCTGCATGCTGTGATTTAAGTGGCTGCTCTCAAGTAAATTGCATAACAGTATTATGAAATGAGCACTAATCTCTCCATAACTATGTGTTAAAGGTATGAAAATTAGGCTTAGCTACATCCCTAGGGTCCTATATGGATAAGTAATGAGAAACAGCTAACTTCTTGCTCCTTAAGAATCTCCCCATTACATTATATGACAAATGCTTGAAGGAATAGAGCTTGTTCAGCAAGAAAAGATAAAGTTCTGCCACACAATTTGAAGACAAAAAGGCTTGCGTGCTTTTGGGAAACCCAACTGAGGGTCTATGAGGATATATTTGGATAAATAAGAATGGGGATTTCCTGATACCTAATGTTGTTAAGTATAAATAACTGATTAAGAAATGGAATAAATGTGTTAGTGTTATAATTGGTTTGAGCCTTTCCTAAAAACTGCTTCCCACATTCCCAGAAACCTTAGGAGGTGATGCAATATAGAAAATATGAACAGGCAGTTTACCTTAGGAGGCTATATCATTCAGATTTACAGATGAAAAACAGACAGTCCATTCAATACTTTTAAGATGTTAGATTTAATGATTATATCTACCATGTGTTCCCTGGTTGAAACTTTAGATATTTTTGTAGCTTTCCACAGAGCTGGAAGAATCTGGGAAAAGATGACATTTTCAGGCTGATAGCACTTCAAATCTCGGATGTAAAGACTTAAATACCCCCTATCGGACTTTCTGCTTCACTGTTTATAATAACTATCTAAAAGGATCCTCTATCAATGTGAAGTAAGCCTCCTATTGTTCTGCAGGGAAATTTTCAAATAGCTATTAACTTTAATGAGGAAATTTAGAATAAGGAGGGAAGAGGTTCATCTAGACTTCTACACAGCTCAGTAGAGCTGAGAATGCAAAACTCTGGATTTACAGGTTGTTCGTCTTACCAGGGAGAGAAGTGTCTTTACTCTATGAAGATTTACATAATCTTTTGACCTGAAGAGTTGGTTGTCATGCTTGTTCCTAGTAGTCTACTGACAGGAAATATGAAGCAATATTCTAGAAGGCTCTAGAAGGAAATTGTTTATTTCAAATAAATTAATGTAAAATTCTTAAAAAAATAATATTAAAAGTTACAAATGAGGTCCAGATAAATGTCTCAGTAGATAAGAGCATACTTTGCTCTTGCAGAAGACCTGAGTTCATTTCCCAGCACCCATGTCTGATGCCTGAAAATAAACCATAACTCCAGTTCCATGAGATATTTTGCCATCTTCTGACCTCTGCAGAGACTTATATATCCACATACAAACATATATACACATAATTAAATGTAAAGTAAGATCTTAAACAAATAAATATTTAACAAATTGCAAATGATTTCCTTCTACATCAAGAGAACTAAGGAAATGATCAATAGCAGATGTAGGGTACAGGGAGAAAGGGCAGGTCACAATAATTTACTCTTTTATACATGCCTTCCTCATTATCCAGAGACAGTGTGTCAGTAAGAGAGTGCTGTAACTAGAGTTTTCCGGCCTTGCCCACAGTAAAGACAAATCTCTCTAACCCACCAGTCCCGAAGCCGCTCAGACCCAACCAAGTAAGCATACAGAGACTTACATTGCTTACAAACTGTATGGCCATGGCAGGCTTCTTGCTAACTGTTCTTATATCTTATATTAATCCATTTCTATAAATCTCTACCTTGCCACGTGGCTTGTGGCTTACCGGCATCGTAACATGCTGCTTGTCATGACGGCGGCCGGCAGTGACTCCTTCTGCCTTCCTGTTCTTTCTTTTCTCCTCTCTGTTAGTCCCACCTATACTTCCTGCCTAGCCACTGGCTAATCAGTGTTTTATTTTTGACCAGTCAGAGTAATTTGACATACAGACCATCCCACAGCAGAGTGCTATAGGATGGTTGGTTCTTTTTAGAAATGTCTGGGTTGTTATATAAGGAAAGAACAAACTAAAGGGCTGTATAAAGTCATAGAATGCAAAAATAAAGGCACAGGTCAACATAGACAAAGCTGTTAGATTCCACCGTATTTGATAACACTATTAGGAAAGACTAGAGGAGTGATTTAGAGAAGAGAACACTACCAAAAAGTATCCTGAAAGTCCCATTTCAGGGACTGATCAGGCCAGCACTGCCCATATGGCTTTATATAGAATGAGTGTCAAAGCTTTTTTACCAGGATGTTCCCAGCCATTTTTTAGGCACAGCTGATGGATGAGTACTGGTCCTTCTCTATGGTACCTAGCTCTATCTAATGGATGATTTCAGCTTTATGATGTCACAGTGGACTGACTTTCAGTCTTCTAAAACTTAACTTCAGTCTGAGATCCTTCTGATAGAAGCCTTCTTCTCCCTCTTCCTTTATACCCCTTAGACTAGAATCAAATACTGAAGACCCTATGTATTTTTTATTTCTTTCTTTTAGCATTCAGGTGTTAATATTTTCATGAGACCCTGAAGGAGAAACTGACTCCAGGGATATATGTTAATAAATATGGTAAATGTTGAGGAGAACAACTGAAATGTTGGAGTTAACATAAATTTGAACTAATGGAGCTAGAGACTTTCAGTAATAGATACAACTGTGTGTGTAGTGTGTCAAGTTGAAAAGTCGATTAAAGTTAAAGATACTTTAGTAAAGGAGGAGAAAAGGGTTGGAATTGATGTCATTGGTATTACTAAAGAACAGGGCATGCCTGTGGCAAAAATAAATACTGAGATGGTTGAAAAAGACCCATAGATATTAGAAGCCTAGGGCAAAGGGTGGAACTAAGAGAATGTATAGATGCAGAAGAACAAAGAGGTGAAAAAAAAGCTTCAAAGTGTGTTGTGGTTCAGGGATAGAGTGTAACAAAGATCAAGAAGATGAAAAGGAAGAAAAAAATCCAGGGCATGGTTAAAAAAATAAAGATTCTAGAAAAAATTTAGAAATAGAAAAAAAATTGTGATTTGGATATATATATATATATATATATATATATATATATATATATATATATATATATATATATATATATATATATATAATAAACAAGCATAGAGGCTTTTATCAGCAACGCTGCCTGTGGAAAAAAAGACAGAGAAACTAAAGGATTCCTTGATACAATCACTTTTAAACAGGACAAAATGGGTCAGACTAGAAAGGGTCAGGATGAAGACCAATATAAAGAACTGGAGTGAGCTATTGTTTGCAATCCACAATTCATCCTACTCCAGCTGCCCTGGTGGGTTCAGGCTGCATCTCTTCCTATTAATAGATGACAACATGAATGTTAAAGACTTACTGTTTGTCCTGGTGCCTTCTTATGTTAGATTGGCATATTATGAAATGATTCACTTAAGTTATTAGATGCTTGCCAGTTTCAAGCAAAGGGAAACGTCTAAATAACTAATGACAACAATAGCATAGTTTTGGTATAATGAATTATAGTGTGTGGAAATAATGGTTTTTAGTTAGAGCTTCCTTAAAGATAATTTCTTGTAATGGTAGTTTTTTGTATACATCTGAATAACCTACTAGCCATTTTTGTCAATTGTCACTTTGTCATCAGAAGTCAGGCACTTGAAGGTTTGGGTGTCAGAGGTGAGTAATCAGAGATTCTCAGGGAACAAGAAAAAAATGGTCTTTTGAGTATAAACAAAAAGAAATTTGCATTTGCTCGACTATGTCTGATAAAAGACATGAATAACATCTAACGTTTAATCAGACATAAATTTATAGAATTTAAAATTTTCTATTTAATAATTTAAAACTATTAAACAAAGAAAAATCTCTTAATCATGCTCCCGTATCCACTTTCCTTGAAGTGCTGGGAAATTATCAATTGGCTTCAAATGACCAGTGAGGCCATGATTTCTGTGACCAGTAGTTTTTGCTTCCTCTACAGTTAAATGTGGAGCACTGTGTGTGCCTCATTTAGTGAAGAAAAATGCCACGTGGGTAGTGGTGACTTACTGAGCTGTTGCTATGGATTTAGGGGGAGTTAGATATTGTGGGTGTCACCAATAAACATTAACTGAAGAAGAAAATGAGCAAGACTGATATCGGGGGAAACTGTAAAGGGTGTACAGAATAAAAGCCTAGATCAGAAATTTAAATCAATATCACCAAAACAGGATAAAAACACATACCATCAAACAAATCTAAGGGAGATCTTGCGGAAGAGTGTGTGACTTGTGCAGAAGAATGGGCAGTTTCATAAATATATGTGAAGTGAGAAGGCAGGGGAGGAAGCTTATTAGCCCTGTGAGAGAGATTGAAGTGAATTCCATGACACAGGAGGAAAATTCAATGAGAAAAATGAATGATTTATTTGTTTCAAGGCTCCGTGGGGAGATCTTGATGTGCTAGTGAGTGGGGAATGGCAAACTTCTAAAACTCAAGAACTGGAAAATCATTTACACGGATACCATCTTATTACAGTGAACCACTTCTAAGTTGCTATATGGAGAGAAATTTTTATTTAAACAATTTAAGCTGTAATTACCATTATTAATTGAAATGTCTAGTATTAACAGTGCTGTAACCTGACTACAGAGGTCTGATGTCATTTGCATAACTGGCCTTGATTTGCATGATTCCTGTTTGCAAGGTGGAAATTGCACCCGGTAATATTACCTGAACACTCAAGTCATCATTCTTGGCCAATCTGGACTAACAGAACAGACTATATGTCAAGAAACTGCATGCACTGTGACTCCCCCTAAAGTGAAAATCTGTAACTTTGTTCTCGACATTATAATAGGTGGGTAAGCTGAGTACCAGTTGTACAGCAGGTACAGCTTAAGAGTTTCTTCTTTTGTTACTAAAGATGAACTTCATGGGGAATTATTCTAGAGCTACCTGAGATGTCAAGGTATCAGCCTATTTAAAGAGGTCAAGCAAGGTCTTAATTCAAGTCCTCTATTAGTAAAACCTAGGAGAGAGATTTAAGATGCCAAATAAGTACACTCGAAAGAATAGAGGTGGCAGAGACACAGGTTCAGGATGGGAAATAAATAAGAAAATGGTCCCTTAAGTGAGGATTAATTTAATCTGCTCCAAAGGGGAGAACTTGGAGAGAATGACTTCTGTTCAATCATGTGTGAAGTTTGTAACCATCAGGGAATTATAACTACTCCTTTGCCCAGGACAATCCCAAGATGAAGATAAATAGGTGTATTTAGCATCCATGAGCCAGGGGATAGATCACCAGTCTAATGAAGTAGACTGAGGCAGGATCCCAAAGAGTGTTAATCTATTTTTTTTATAGGTAATGATCCCTTAGGCTGGGTAAGTTTTGAAGGAGTGAAATTCATATTGGCTCACTGCTCTCAACGTGTGAGGTTGAGGCATTGGGTGATGGCCTTTTTGTTGGCACATTTTCAAGGCAGTGCAGGGCAGCAAGATGGCTAATGAGATCAAGCATGCACACATTTGTGTCTGTGTTCTTCAGTGTCACACCGCCAGGTTTTAATCATGGTGCCTCCCCTATAACCTTAACAACGAAGTCTCACTTCTAAACACTGCATCCAGGTTACAAATTATCCTTCTGAACACTTCCTAGTGAGAGTCAGTTTCAAGACAGGAACATAATGAGGACAGATTCAAGCCATACCCAAACTACAGTAAACAGCATTCAATACAGTTTTTTTTCCAGCTAACTTTATGCCCTCCGTCCTTTCTCCTTTCATTTTTGCCTCTCCTCACTCCTTCTTTTTCTGTTCTCTTCCAATATCATGACATCGTTCCTGGGTGTTGAAAAATCAGCGTTAACACTTTCTCTTCCTGAGACACCCAAGTTTTATAGAACGTAATGTAGTCTCCTGGTGGAGGCATACACACCTAACATTCATTATTCTTGAAGCCCCCAAAGGGAGAAGAGGTTTGATTGATTATAATTTTCAGCATAAGTTTGTCATCATTTTTGAGAGTGTTGGACATGACCTCGAGTCTATTCCTCTGCCGTGAGAGTCAAGAGCTTCTTAAACAGACTTCTGACATGTGGTGCTGTTTTTATTCTCTTCCTACCCCATGCCCCTGCCTCAGCAGTAGCTGGTTTTCCTAATCCTGGGCTGCTCCAGAGCTCTGCAACAAATTGTGAATTTTTTTTCCTCCCTTCCTGACTGCTGGATCAGCACCCAGATCACTCTTTCCTGTTTAGGAAGTTGCAATGAAACGGTCTGCTCTCCAGCCTCAAGTCTTTGCTAGATACTAGAGGTATTGCCATCTCTTTCCCATTCTCAGTTTCCTTTGATGAAGATTGACCTTAGAAAAATACTTAAGTCATCTCACCACCTTAAAATAAAGGCACTCTTATTTCAAATAAAAATAAGTTTTTTAAGTTTTTATTACTAAGAAATTTCCTTTTCATTTTACATAGCAACTGCAGATTTCCCTCTTCTCCCTCCTCCAGCCCCCCAGCATTCCTCCCCAACCCATGCCCCATTCCCACCTCCTCCAAGGCAAGGTCTCCCATGGGGAGTCAGCAGCACCTGGTACATTCAGCTGAGGCAGGTCAGAGCCCCTCCTCCCTGCACCAAGGCTGTGCAAAGTGTCTCAGCACAGGCACTAGGTTCCAAAAAACCGGCTCATGCACCAGGGATGGATCCTGATCCCACTGCCTGGGGGCCCCCTAAACAGTTCAAGCTAAACAACTGTCTCACCTATCCAGAGGGCCTGGTCCAGTTCCATGGGGGCTCCACAGCTATTGGTTCACAGTTGGTGAGTTTCCACTAGTTTGGCTGGCTGTCTCTGTAAGTTTTCCCATCATCATTTCGATGTCGCTTGCTCATAGAATCCCTCCTTGCCCATTGATTGGACTCCTGGACCTCGGCCTGGCGCCTGGCCATGGATCTCTGCATCCGCTTCCATCAGCTACTGGATGAAGGCTCTATGATGACAGTTAGGGTATTCACCAATCTGATTACCAGAGTAGGTCAGTTCAGGTACCCTCTCAACTATTGTTAGTAGTCTAACGTGGGGGTCATCCTAGTGGATTCCTGGGAACTTCCCTAAAACCCTCTTTCTCCCTGTTCCCATGATGTCTTCATTTATCATGGTATCTCTTTCCTTGTTCTCCCACTCTGTCCCTGTTCCAGTTTGAACCTCCAGTTCCCTTATGTTCTCATACCCCATCCTTTGCCCTCTATTACCCTCCTCATCCCCAGTTTACTCATAGAGATCTCATCTATTTCCCCTTCTCAGGGTGATCCATGCATCCCTCTTAGGGTCCTATTTGTTAGCTAGCTTCTCT